TATAAACTATTTGATTGCATTTTACTGTTACTCTATTTTAGATCTGCTATTTTCCACTGCCAATTTTTGGAGACTCATACAATACTACAATTCACATGCTGATTATCTGCAAATTAATTCTGCCACTGTCTCCATAGTGATATTTGGAGAACTCTTAATTTATTTAATGTAAGGATTTTCCGTTCTACAATAGGAATACAATTCAAGATGATGCTTTGGCTTTTCTCTTCTTTTTAAATCCTGTTTGACTCTTACCCATAATTCATTTGTATTGAGAGGATCCTTATCATGAGTTTCTTTATATCTTTACCAATACTTTTCAGTCATTTAATATTAAATTTAATAATGCTCTAAAATTCATTTATAAATAATCATCTTCTCTGTTTTTCTAGATTTTTATTTTCTGCTTGAATGTCTGTTAAATCTTATCTGAGTTTTTCTACATTCTTTTTGTATCCCTTAAGTAAAATATCTTCCATTTTTAACTCTGTATCATATATTTGAATTCTCTTTTCTCCAATATTACGCATAGATTCAGCACATTACTTATAGACAATTTTATAATCTTAATATTATTTCTAAATCTATTTAACCACTGTTTCAGATTTCTTAGGATCTTGATTAATTAGATTCTCAATCTCAATACAATACCTATTGATCATATTGTCTTAAAATTATAATGAATCTTCTAATTGAGATAATTCTTTGGCTTATTTCAAATATTCTGCTTTTTGTTTTTCTAATTGACTCTTCAAATCCACAATTTTTTTAATATATTAATTTCTTGCGATTTCTTTAGGCTAATTTTATAGATCAACCAATAATTTCTCTTTGTATTCCAAATTGACTCTTCCCTGATTTCTGATCATTTGATTCTCCTCCTATAATCTCCTCATTTTATCTTAGATCTACTCAAGTTTTAATTTTCGATCTTAAACTTATTGAGCCAAATCATCAGCTTCATTTTATTGCAAGACCTTTTCTTTTTCCCACTCAATCCTGATGTTTTCGATTTCTTATTCCAGTTATTGTACTTCTGGATCATTCCCTTTTTTTGATTCAATTTATTACAGAATAGAATGAGCACTTTCTAATTCTTATTACTTATCCTTATTATCAGATTATAATTATGAATAGGTATCTTACGATTTCTGATTTACATCTTCCAATTTCTATCTCTTTTTTTATAACTTATCATAGACTTTTTATTGCTCTATCAATTTAGCCTAAATATCTTCAAGTAAAGCACTAATCTCTGATTTTGCTTCTTAAGTGTCTTGAATTTCTTATTAGATTTCTTTTACCTCCTCTTAGAATTGTATTTCTAAATTGAATAAACCTTGATTTTCCTCTTCTTTTTATTTTCTTGCTTACTCCTCTTCCTTATCTTCTTCTTTTAATAATTTGATTGCTCTCTTCAATTATCTATTTCCTTTCTAGATATCTTCCCAATCATTCTTTTCACCTTCAGCTTGGAATTACCCTTTAAATTACCCAAGAACACTTTCAGGATCATCAGATCTCCTCATTTTCTTTATTAATTATAATCTCTCTTATAGTGGCTAATCCACCTCCTTCTTTTATAAGTGATGATCCATAACTCGAACAATTGAGTGATACAAATGTTTCCTTACTCCTTTATTGGCTACTTGCTGAATTAATGGCTCTTTCTTTAGAATATTGAGCACATGCAATCTAAGAAATCGTTGCTCAATTTCTGGAAAAGAACATAATGACGGATTAACCCATTCTTGAAAGAAATTCTATATTTGATTAGTCCTATACGTAGCTTTCTCTTCTTATAATCTCTCTTCGAATGTGAGATGTTTAGCTCCAGTTTCTTTTTTATTCTATTAACTCAATTTGGAAAGCAGACTAACAATAACCTTTCTTGATTCTTATGGATTAGGATTCACAATGGATTGAATATCAATTCTAATACCAATGGGATAGAGCATCTCTTGAATTTTTCCTACTTTTCTAAATGAACTCTTTATTGATTTGATCGAGCTGATTTCAAAGGCTTATGTTCCACTCAATTAAAAAAATTACAGGAAAATACTTACCAAGTCATCACATGTTAACTATCCATAAAAGTAAGTATTACTTGAGGGAGAGCTGGTGTTGATATCTAAATTCCTTGAAGTTGCAAACTCTTTAACAACATTTGGTCCTAATCCTCCATTTTTCTAAAATTGCTCTATAAAAAAGAAATAAATAATCTTTTATTAATATGGTAATGTGTTTCATTTATAATGACGAGGTGTTATCATGAAGTTAACTAGCCCTGACTCTTAATTCTTCCTATACTTCCTAAATGCACTTGGGCTATATCCGCCTATACCGAATTTGCTTGATGGTGATTTATAGTCCTTTGGGATTTCGAAAGCATCACCAATGTTAATTTCTAAATCAGAATCCAGTTAATGATTAACATATTTCTCTGCATTCGCATCTAAAATCAATTGAAGTCATTACTAATCTTTTGCTATAATTATTAAGCCATGTTATCAAGTGTCTTGTCCTTATACTAACTATACTATTTAGTTATCACAATTGGAACAAAATTAGATTTACTTAACGGAGCTTCCTCGTTATGCATACCGTCATCATAGTATTGATTAGACTGTTTCTAAAAGAATATTTGTCTTGGAGTTAAAACATGGAAGCCTGGTGTAAATTAATGATTATTGGGACTATTGATTCCTTAGAATTCATAAGCGTATTGCTATTGAAAATTTGAAGACTATTCCTAATTTTATTGAAATTTATTATACTTCTTTATCCTCTTGCTGTACTTCTAACTAATCTCTCAATATGGTATATAGGGGTCCTTTTTTGGTTCTTATGCAAATATCAATATAATCTTCTTTGTCTATGTGCTTTAAGATAATATATGATTTATACTACTTTCCTTTTAGCATTCAATCTTGAGGATCTCTTTAAAGGGAATTTGTGGCTTAATTCTTCGTATTTATAATCACTTGTATAGTCATCATCGTCATCGTCATCATCTATTCTACTTTTTCTTTTCTTGTGATTCTTCTTTTTTAACTTTAATCTACTCTCTCTTTATTTTGTGTAAAGAGCACTATCCTTTAAATACAATATATACTTGAAGTCCATTATCTTATCAATCAATTATTTGAACTTATCTTCATTAAACTAATTGATCTAAGACTTTTGTTTAGATTAAGCAAATTCTAAGATAGAGTCTTGGAGTCCTTTACAGGCTTAACAAAGCTTTTTCATGTGATCATCTTTTAATTCTGATGGACTCTTCTCTGCCAGAATGAATATCTTTGATAATACTCCAGGTTTTATGTCTTTTATCTGTTGTGTACCCTTTTCTTTACTATATATAGACTTAGATGATTTACTATTCTTATCTCCAATGAGTTTATTGATTCTCCTCAGACTTCTTCTTAAGGTTGAATAAAAATGATTTTTAATTGCGTTATCAGTTCTCCCTGGTAGCAGTTTCGCAATTTCAGCCTAAAATTGTTATAACTTTCCTACCCATTTGTTGCCGTGTTCCTTGTGGGCTATGAAGATGACTCTCTCTTCGTTTTCACTCCATGGCTCTTTGTTGATGGTAGGATCAAGATGATTATGATAGCGTTCTCTACATTATTTGCCTGATCGACCGAATAAACTGTAGAGTTCTTTCATCTTTTCGGCCACAATCGTCCATTTCTTAATTCCATACTGTTTCACCAATTATAAGATAGCTGTATCTTCCTAGAAATTTAATTTTGTTCGCAGTTACTTTTTAATTCCAAGCCTTGCGATCAGTCATTTATAAATTATTAATTAATAAAATGTATGACCAATATTTATTATTATATTAAGAACCCGTAAGAAACGGTATTTACTATTTATTTCTAAGGAATTATCAAATTTTCAACTTATTTTCACATAAGTTTATTTTGGACAATGAAATTTAGTTTAATTGAATGTAAATATATTTAATCAATTCTATAATCTCAACAACAATAACAACCCTGAAAATATTTTTTACGATATGATTGAGTTTTCTGAATACTTTATTTGTTGGGTGGAACGAGCAAAATCGATTTATCGATTTGTAAAGCTTTCATTTTTATCTTTGCTCCCTATTCATAAGCATATTAGAAGGTTTCTGCAATGCCTTCGCTCGTCTTAGCTGAAGTTAGAAATAACTTTAACTACTTTTATGAATTTAAAGTTAGGAGATATTTTTACAGATCTTCCTTAACATAAAAGGTTGGGAGGTCCATCTTGGTTCCAACTATTATAATTCCCATATCAGGACTGCAATTAACTTGTAGAAAATCTAACCAACCTTAAGTGTGTCTGTATGAATCAGGATCACTCAAATCGAAACAAAGAATAGCTACATTAGTATTCTATGATTTCTTTTCATTTTTATACTTATAAAGACATCCTAGTAATAGATCTAAATCTCTCCTAACCAGCAGTGTCCCATATCGAGATATCAAAAAGTTGACCATTCACTTCCACATTTTTCACTGTAGAATAGTCAACAGCAACCGTTGCTGCATTATGAGCTCGGAACTCTTGCTATCTATGAGATTGCAAAAGACTTGTTTTTCCTGCCCCTTACTATCCCACTAGAACTAGTTTGAGTGTTTCGTTCATTATTAATTATTATATAAAATATCAACAGCAACCCTGTAGAGTGATTTTATTCTCATACAAAATTCTTATAGCTTTCTCTTATTTAGTGATATGGAGGTCATCAATTTCTGAATGATATGTAGGTACTTATGATATTTTATTATTATCGTAACACTTTACATTTAAATCATGCTCTACTTTTACAACTTGATTAAAATTCCAACAAAAACTTGTTTAAATTCTTTCCTTTATGTTAGATTAATTTAATTTTCCCTTATTTATTTCACCTATGGAGATTTATTTAGTATCTACAATTATAATTGATATTTTTTAGTTTATTGAAATATCACATAACCATAGTGGTTCAAACAACAAACAGTTATTATCAATTTCGATTTATTTTCACGACTTTTTCAGAGTAGATATAGTTAAGTTGGAATTTATCGTTTGATATTTTACAATAAAGCTAACAAAGTTCATTTTGAGATGTTAATTCCCTTCATTTTACCTCAAGGAAATTAATAATATAGTTATATTATGAGATTAGCTTTTACATTGTGGCTACACTTTTCATTAAAGAATATTTTAATAATAATTGAAAAATTAAATTCACTGATAATTATAAAAAAGTTGAGCATTTTAATTAAAAATGAGACAATTTCTAGGTAATTGATTAAATACACATTTAAATGGCTATGAGAATTATTAATTAATTTATTTTAAGGATAATGTTTATAAACTAATTGCTCAACTTTTAATAATAGATGGATAAATTTTGTTGAAAGGATTGTTCTTTATTTATAATAATATACTTAATTAAAAACAATGATTAAAGTATTATTTTAACTATAATGAACATTGATATATTATGGAAACTCTTTTTAATGGTTATGTTACAATAAAGAGAACGAAATTAATTTAAGAAATAGCAAAATAAAATTTTCTTGAACCATCAAACTCATTGCCAGTAAAAACTAATTCATCAGTTATGGAAGGATACATGTATTTGTTTGATGTATGATATGTTCAACATATATAGAATTAAAATTTAGTTACATAATTGAAATTTTAGATAAGTAATTTTAAATTAAATCTAGAAGATTTACAAGAAAGCGACAAAAGAATTAATCCAAAAATGGTTTTGGTTAATTCTTATGAAGTAGGAAACTAGATTATATTGTGATACTTCTTATGAAGTAATATATAATATAAATGAATATCAATTCTTAATATTTTGATATGATCTTCTTTAACCTATGTTGCTTCTGTCGATATTTTCATTTTCATAAATTCGTTTAGTTGAAGGACTTTTGTTTTTTAAAGTATTTTGGCTCTGTTTCTCAACTGACTTTCTGATTGGAGCAGGACTTAGATTTTTAACTGAAGAACTGGGTCTATTTAAACTAGATTAACGAATAGGTGGATTGATGTGTAACTAATTGTTTTTTAATCCAGGAGGTATAAGCTAAGTTAAGTGTATAAACAAATACAGGTTTGGAAACATCTTTTTTGGGAATTTGAGGAGTTTGAATTGGAGATCCTTTCCTCTCATTTACAGATGCTGATCGTGTAGATTTGGGAGGATTTTTGATTGAATCATATTCATTTTTGTTGGTTTCATAGGTTGGTTTAGGGAGTTTGGCTTATAACTATTTAAGATTTTTTGGTAATTAAATGGTTTAAAGTAATTCTGCTTGAGTATTTCCTGGTTGTGTTTAGCAATACTATTCGACAAACGGTTTAACATTTGGATCAGAGAGGATCTAATCACATGTTGGACGTAAATGAGCTGGTACTTTGAGTAATTAACTAATCATGGCGCTCAGAGAATTGGAATATGATTTTGGTATTTTTTCATAAACTCCCGATGATACCTTTTTGAATAAGGCTTAAACATCTTATGCTCTGAAAGGAGGCTTTAAAGTAGCCATTTCATATATGACACACCCTAAAGACCAGATATCAGAAGGTGAAGAATAAGGTTAATCTCTCCATACTTCTGGACTTGCATAATCTAATTAAATTCAACAATTTTACAAGGTGTTCCTGTTTAGGTTTTAGCTAATGCTCCATGTGAGACTTTACTTACATTGAGATCGCCTATCTTGTATTATCCATCGTTAGATTTAAAGACGTTAGCACTCTTTAAATCACGATGCAAAATACCAGACTTGTGTAACACTCTCAAACCTAAAGTCATGTGTGCCAAAGCTTTCCAAATCTCCTTCTCTTCTATTTGATTCTACTTCTTTATGCAAGAGGAAATTTATTTTGAGATATCTCCTCCAGCTGCAAATTCCATTATGACACACAATTAATTTGATATTTCATCGAAGAATGCTTCTTTATATCCTATGATATGGGCATCAGTTATTGAAGCCAAAATTCTGATCTCATTCAAAGCATTCTCTCTCTCTTTTTACTTTAAGTTGTTAATTCTCACCTTCTTCATAGCATACTCTTACTAATCACTCACTCGTTTAACCTAATTAATATTAGTTTAACTTACTCTGAATACTTATCCAAAGGAACCTTCTCCTAATTTCTAAAGAATTGTGAAATCTGCCAGGGTTGTGGATTTTTACATTTTTAATTTGAATTTCCTAACCTGTTAAATTATTAATAATATAAAAACAACTTTATATTGATTCTAATAATAATTTAGATTTCATATAGTGTAAATTTATAGATGAGAATCCTTCTTTTTTTAATCACATATGCTCCAAGTGGGTAAATGTGGGTTCATTTGTATATTAATAAACTAACATATTAGGGATGATTTAATGCTGTATTTTAAAGATAAAATTGTTTCTAAATTTGTATTTGTTTAAGGGATCTAGGAATTAAGAGCTGTTTAAAAGTCATTTGATATATCATGAATTAGACAGTATTTATTTTATTAAAAGAAATCAACGATAGAACACTTGAGTAGATTCTATATCAAAGATTATAGATTGATTAACTTAAAAAGGGGAAGGATTGCTTTTCAAAATAAAATCATGTTTCTTATGAATATATATTTATTTTCATTAGTCAATGAATGATTCGCCATTTCCAAATGATTGTTTGATTGCTCCTTCGACAAATAGGAATTCAATTGGTCTACTTCTCATACATTTATTGGAAACTGTATATGCAGTTGTTCCGTTTTCTTAAATAAGACTCAATGATCCTCCTTCTGGGACATGAATGGATAAAACTTCAAATGGCAATCCAAAAAATGTGACATTATCTCCTGGACATGATTTAGCATGTTCTCCCTTAAAATTGCATTCGCTAAAAACATAAATACAACCCTCTTTAAATGATGTAATTTTTTCGTTGCTGTAAACTTTCTTTTCTGGTTTAGGTTCTTCAAATGAATAATTTGGTTTTTCTGTTGCTCTTACTGCATTGGGATTTGGTTAGTCAATAATAAACATAGATTCAACGAATTTAATTGTATGATCACTCTCTTCAGTTGGTGTTAATAACAATGCTTCTTCGTAATTCAAAAGTGATGACAATTGCTCTTTGATTGATTCATCTGAGCTTCTTCCCAAAAAGGTTGGTAAGCCTTTTTTTTTAATTGTATATATTTCAGTTGATAAATCCTTCTGCTATTTGACGTGCTTTTATTTTTCAAGGAAACTCTCTTGAGCTGTTATGATCACCAATAAGAGTGCTAAAATATATAATTTTTACATATTAATAAAAACGGATTTATAATATATGAATTTTGAGTGATGAATTTGTTACAGACCAAAGAGTTTCTTATATTATAGATTCCTCTCAAAGAACCTATCAGTGTACTTCTTTGTTTTTAAATAAGAGAGATCTTAAACCTTAGATTTCGAAGCATCCTCCAATATTAAGATGATCTCATCATATGATTAGTAAGAATATTAAAGAATTTTAATTGCAGAGTATTGTTTTCAAAATTAAATTGAGAGGAAAGTAGAAGATACTCCAATCTGAGATGGAAAATAAAAAATGATTATAATTTTTATAACAAAAATAGTAAAAATGATTTTATTTTTGACCTTAATTATAGATGGATATAAGAAGGGGTACATGTTGTTTTAAAATAGTAAAATACTATATATCTCTTCGCCAGGTTGGC